AAGCTTGAAAAGTTCCGCCTAACATCAGCCCTGTAACGAAAGCTTCAGACAATATATTGCATCTCGCAAAAATGCATGCTTCAGACAAGATTATAAACTCTAATGTAAAAAGTATTGGAAGAGAGCGAATAGTATTGGCGGTGAGTTTCTGCCAATACGTTTTCGCGTGAAACCCGTTGTTACGAATTGAATTTAAAGAAAAGTAAAATAAAGAAATTATTTTATTATTAATTTAAATTTTATCTTGATAACGAACAATGCTCTTCAGCAAATGAGAAATTTTTAGACTCTGAACGAAAGGGTTATTCACATTTCGATGTGATAGAAAATAATAACCATTTCTATAAAATAATTAATTAAAAAAATTAATATTTTTAATAACAATAAATAATAATAATAAATAAAATAATTATTAAATAAATAAATTTATTATTTAATAAAATTTAATAAAAACAATTTTTTTTTATTATTGGTTTTTTAATGGCAGCCAATAATGTGCCAATAATGGTTTGCCAATTATTGGCATCGGCGTGGACCTCCCATGATTTTACCATTAGTGGTCCATTATTGGGTACCAATAATGGGACAATAATGGAATGGTGGCTCCCATTATTGGTCCATTAATGCGCCAATGGTTTTTTTCCCATTGGGTATTTTCTTTTGCACAACAATTAGGGACTACGCCCTTTGATTCACAAATAAATCACAAAATATCAAGTCTATACGACTAAAACAATATATCGTTCAGGTAACTTTGCCTGAATTAAACTGCCCAGATTTCCCCTTGTCAATTCTTTTTATTGAGTGACAATTAGGTGGGGAAAATCCTCAATGCAGTTTATTGCACTTAGTTATTACTAAGCGAAATTCTGACGACTTGCAGAATTTGGTACTTGCGAAAATTAAAATTGAACCACTTCGTTATTGTGAAATAATTGAAATTAACTGAAGGAAACCTTACCTTGCAATATTAAAATAAAGAAAAATTGTACTTTGCTTAATTCTTTGTGCTAAATACCCGATTAAAAGTAGGTTGTTAAGAATTTGCTTAATGTTGGAATTTATGAGTATTGCCAATAAATATGTGTTTTTGTGTAACAATGTTGATTGTGTTTTTAGTTTACAAAAATGATTGAATGGATTTTATATAATTAAAATAAAATTCGTTGTTTCTATTGAAATATATAGGTGACGAATTTGAACGTAACACCCGTATTGGGGGCATTCTGCCAATCCTGCTTTTTCACTGTCAATACTGTCCTCTTGAATCTTTCAATTTCATCGCACGTTCATTGACTCGATTTGGCATTTTAATCAAAAAGACTGATTGATTTAATGTGTAAAAATGCTGATAACGAACAGGAAATATAAAATTTTGTTAAAATGTAAACAAATGAAATGTGACAAAATGTTGGTCTATTATACCATATTGATTTAGGGTATTTTCTACACGGAGAGAAATGTGCTACGAATAACGCTAGAGACATGTTGGTTCGCTTTACGCACAGACGTCTGTACCTAATTTTGCAAAGGCCGGTGCTAACTTTGCACAGCTTTGTGTCCACTTGTGCCACAGTTGCTCAAATCCATGAAAAATCAGCATGGATTTCTTGCAACTTACGCATGGTGTATGCGCTTTCAGTACGGCCTGCTCATGCGCTAAGAGCAACAGATTTCTCTCCGTGTAGATAAGCGCTGTGATTTATACTCACATCACCTCTAGCGCGAACGTCGAAAGCTCCCTAAATCATGTGCCCAACGGGAAGTTGCCAATATTAACGATTGGTTCAATAATGGGCCATGCTTGGTACCCAATGGTTTTTTCTTGGCAAAACAATTGGCAACCATCATTGGACCACCAATGGTTTAAACTTGGGATGATCACGCTACTGCCAATGATCGATAGCCAAGCATCGGGCCAATATTAGTTGCCAAGAAATTGCCAAGGAAACAAAATCGATTTTCAAAAGCTTGATTTTTTATTCGCAGCCAACAAAAAACCAAGGTTTTGAAAATTGATTTTTTTTAATTATTAATTAAAATTTATTTTTAAAAAATATATTTTTCAAAAATTTATTTTAAAAATATATATTTTTTAAATTAATAGAACATATTAATTTAATTTGTCACCTCTGGTAAAACAAAGATGAAAGACTGATAAATTCCCTCACTTTATATCTTACAGTGGAGGGATAACTGTGAATGTCTTTGCGAGAGAGGAGCAGGTACTTATATAGAGCCAGTGAAACAGGTCACAAGCGAGAAGGAATCACTAGCATGCACTCTGGCGGCGCTTGTCGGAACTGTTTTCTGGAGCGCATGCATATCGTGGCATTATCGACACAGCGCTTGGCAACCAACGTTGCGCCACTTCCGACAAGCGCCGCCAGAGTGCATGCTAGTGATTTCTTCTCGCTTGTGACCTGTTTCACTGGCTCTATATAAGTACGTGCTCCTCTCTCGCAAAGACATTCACAGTTATCCCTCCACTGTAAGATATAAAGTGAGGGAATTTATCAGTCTTTCATCTTTGTTTTACCAGAGGTGAAAAATTAAATTAATATATTCTATTAATTTAAAAAAATATATATTTTGAAAAATATATTTTTTTTAAATAAATTTTTCAAAAATATATTTTTTAAAAATAAATTTTAATTAATAATTAAAAAAAATCAATTTTCAAAACCTTGGTTTTTTGTTGGCTGCCAATAAAAAATCAAGCTTTTGAAAATCGATTTTGTATCCTTGGCAATTCCTTGGCAACTAATAATGGCCCGATGCTTGGCTACCGATCATTGGCAGTAGCGTGATCATCCCAAGTTTAAACCATTGGTGGTCCAATGATGGTTGCCATTAATGTTCCAATAATGGAACGGAGTTCGCCAAGCATGGCCCATTATTGAACCAATCGTTTACTTCCCATTGGGTGGTAATAGATCAACAGTACACACTCAAGTCGAGTCAATGAACGTGAAATCGAAAGATTCAAGAGGACAGTATTGACGGTGAAAAAGCAGGATTGGCAGAATGCCCCCAATACGGTTTTCACGCGAAAACGTATTGGCAGAAACTCACCGCCAATACTATTCGCTCTCTTCCAATACTTTTTTTTTACTGGGTATGTATGTCAAATGTTGCTTAACATATAAAAATTTAAAAAATTTAAAAGTTTCCTGTCAGGATCCTGCAAGTGTTCCTGTATACAGGAACCTTTGATAGCTAAGGTTCCTGCACAGAAACCCTGTCCCAAAATGCCGTACGGGATCCGGTCGGGATCCTGCACAAGATCCTTTAACCCTTAAACCGCACACTGCCGAATCCATCCTTAAACCGCACACTGGGTGTGCGACACCCGGGGACTTTTAAGTGTGTTCTCCAAGCTGGAATAGGATATTATCTTTTGGAAAAATTATCTTATATAGCTCAGTACATCTATTTTGAAGGAAAATAAGTTTCATAATGATTTATTTAATTTTAATAATTAAAAAAGAGTTTTTTAAAACTACTGAAATTACCCTAAACCAAAAACTGGGTGTCAAACAAGCAGAAATTTTTCGCCGACAACTTCATAAAGTTATCAAATACACAAAGACACTTGGGAGACTAATGTCCCTCACGGAACATAAACTTAAGTACAAAATGTATCGTCCAATAACGACACATGTTCAATTTTTACGAATTTAACCGAAATATTAGAGTAAAAAGCTAGAATATGGGTGTCGCACACCCAGGGTGCGGTTTAAGGGTTAAGGATCATGTACGGGGATTTTAAGCTGGGCTCAGTGTAAATTTAATTATCCTTTTTTCTCCGTGTATATTGTATACGACATTTAAAATTTTTAAAAACTGACTTCATATATTCGTATTCAGAGACCCCAAAAACTGCTAAATACAATGTTTTATTAAAATCCATTAAAGTTTTTATTTTGATGCCCGCCATTTTGAATTTTTTAAAACTGACTTCTGATTCGTAATCAGCGACCCCGAAAACCCCCGAGTAACAAGTTTTATTAAAATTTTATTGAAGCAATTTTTAGAAAATAGTTTTGTCCACTTAGAATCGGGTTTCAGACCACTGTGGGGCATGTCATTTGCCTTGATCATTTTAACCGTTTGGGATGAAGAATGGATCTCATTTGCCCCTGTAGGGTTGAAAATAGAACTTTGAAGCTGTTGAAGATTGAACTTTGAATGAATGTCCTATTCTGTCTCCAAATAGACCGGAGTTTTTTGGTTTCTTGGTCCACAGGTTGGGGATTGAGGATCCGGAGCGATTTGAGCCCTACAGATGAGATGGTTGAGGCCTTCGGCCGATTTTTAGGCGGGGGTACATCGCATATAACAATTTAATTTGTTGTTGTTCAAATGATATGAAATACTCATATTTCCATATGCTCTGGGTTCTATTTTAATTATTATTATTTTGTTTTGGGTTGTTTCTTTTTTTTCTCTCTTCATGAGTTGTTTTTTTTTTGGTTTTATTATTTTTTTTCTTTTCCCTTTTACTAATATAGTTCTTTTCCCACATTTTGCCAACCTTCCCCCCGGGTGAACTGAGTGAACTGAGTATATGCTCTGCAATAGGACACTAACAAGGAAAGAAGAAAAAGAAGAAGGGAGCGACTCAGAGTCAGACGTGCGTGGAATCTAGTTCAAATTCGTCACTTTTTGAATGTGGATGAAAGCAATGAAATATATGAGAGAAAGAATGAATAATTTGGAAAAATGTATAATAGAGTTTGTATAGCAATGCATTTTGTTATTTGAACTTTGTATGTTTCTTTCATTTAGAATATATCATTTCCATGTATTTAAGAGATTGATTCTCTTCGGAGATCCCTGTGAAAATGAATCTTATGCATCTCGTTCGCGAAGGTGTATTTGTATACTTGAATTCTCTTGAATGCAAGCACGAATGCCTTTCTTATCTAGCATTACAATTAATTGCGATTATTTTATATTTATTATAAATTTGAATGAGTAAATTTTTTTATTTAAAGATTGAAACTGAAGAGGCAATGACACATGAAGTCACAACAGCTTTAAGGAGCGAGTTGGCAGCACTGGAATATAAACGTGATAGATTAATGTCTGAAGTGAGAGAAAAATTAATTACGAAAATCGAATACTGAGAGTACTAAAATCACTGAAATAATAATTACATTGATATACAAACATTTTTAGCTTCAAGAAATGAAAAACTCTGTACGATCACGTGACCAAAGAGTCGTGGAACTTCAGGTTGAAGCGGATCAGCTTCGAGAACAGGCAGCTCGACAAAATTCTGTTATTTTAAGTCTTAAAAAACGAATACAGGTAAATTTATTTTTGAATCTACTTTATACAAAAATTATGCATTATTTCCCACACCCCAGTGAGAAATGAAAGGTCTGACCGACGTCTATTCGACGTCTAAGAGGTCTAAAAAGACCCATTTAGACATCGACTAGACGTTGGTCAGACCTTTCATTTCTCACTGGGACAGTATTTTAATTTGTTACGAAATAAAATTTGCATTTTAAAGGAACTGGAGGATAGGGAGAGAAATTTATATGCGTGTCAAGGCAGAAATGAAATCACAATTCAGGGTTTACAACGGGATGTAAAATATCATGAGGAAAAGGTACGAGAGTATGAGAAGAAAATTCGTCAAGTGGAACACAACATTACCGAGGAGATTCAGTTGAAGGAACGGGCGCGCCTAAATTTGCAGGTTTATACATATTTTTATAAAAATTAGAAGGTGCTTTAAAGAGTCTTCGTTACAAAATAATAAGTATTTATCTACTTGCAGGATTTTGTTAGAAGATTAGCACACGCCTTGAATACCGAATTCTGTGATAGTACTCACCATAGTCCAGAAATGGTTATTCATAAAGCAGAAGAACTCGTTCAGGAAGTTAATCGTCTCCGAACTAAAAGCTCCACTGTCGAAACTCATTTGGGAAGTGTAGAAGTTGATTTTAGAACCTGCAAGGATTCGTTAGATCGAATTACGTCCGAGAAAGATCAACTCCAACGTCAAGTTGCAACTCAGCTAATCGATTTGGATCGTTTTCGTCAGGTTTGTATCGCAATTCTTGTCAAGAGAAATAAATTTAAGACAAATTAATTTTAATTAATTATTAATCAAATTTATTTACCAATTATCCAATGATTGTCATTAAACAAAGCAATACCAATTGCTCTACCCGGTAAGAAGCGTAGAATTGAAAAGAATTCAAAAGTTGTATTCTTCTTAATAGGCGAATTTACCTCAGAGCTCTATTCCACGGGAACCACCAAAATTTCAAAAAATCTATTATTCTGAATTGACTTCACAAAAATATGAAACGCGCATTCAAAAGAATCAGAATCTACAGCTAATCAGTAGAAATTTCTATTCCTCTGAATTAACTCACTGCCACTCAAGATTCCACTAGAAAGTGAGGTTAGGTTTCAAAACTTGACTTAAACATTAAACATATGAAAATTCCTTTCAGTAAGAGCATTTTATATTTTATCGTAAGCACTTTGCGTTTTTTAACCATATTTTCACTAGTTTTAATATTTAATTTTAATAATTTAGCACTGAAATTACAATGAAATTCACACGACGCGAAACATAACTGTCACTGTGTTTTATTTTAAGACAATAACTAGAGAAGCTCCTACACGGAGAGACTTTTAGTTACAAAAATTACTTTATTGTATTTCGATATTTCTAATAAAACGTAAGAATTTAGGGATAATCGAGGTACGACCCAGATAGCACAAAAAGACCCGTGTAGAAATTTCCCTACGTTTCCCTACGAATGGTTGGATTCTAGCTAGAACCACGCCAGAAAATCTAGCCTAGGAAAGCCTGACTAGAACTGGCAAGATTCTTGTGAGGAAATTCGGATTAGAAATATCTCCCTAGATCCCGCTTGGATTCTAGAGAGGAAATTCGTACTGGAAAAAACTGGTAAGGCCCCTTAATTAATTCTGGACAGAGATATCGAGTCGATATCTCAATCGCAAACGTTGGGTTAGGAAATCCAATTAATAATATTAATTAATATTTATTAATTATATAAATAAAATAATAAGTTATTTTAATTTTTTAAACAATTTTTTCTCAAAATAGTAAACTGTCGAATTATCAAAATTTTCTCAAGTAGAGTTTAGGATAATTTTATACTTTGTTTTAAAGATAATAATAAATGAATAAGCAAAATAAATTAAAAATAAATTTTATAAGGTACAGGAGTGTTGTTTTCATTTTTTGTTTCAAATAGTTCTAATGTAATTATACATTGTTTGAGTATATAATTTTTTATTAAAAAATAATGTTCATATTGAACACAAATATTTTTCATAATTTATATACAGAGTTAACTAAATTAACTTCTTTAACTATTTTTGAAATGTAACTACAAAAAGATTTTTTTTCCCTTTGTCAACATAAAACATAATTATTAATTAAATAATAAATAAATAAATAATAATAATAACAATAATAATAATAATAATAATAATAATAATAATAATAATAAATAATTAATAATAATTGTTAATTATTATTATTATTATTATTATTATTTATTTATTTATTTATTTATTATTATTATAACATATTTATTTAATTACTGATTAAATATAAATTCCCTGAAATATAAATTCTTTTATTACTTAATATAAGAGAAAAATCTCAAGCACGGTATTTAACTATAGAGTAAGCGGTCGATATTAAGAAGCGGATGTATTACAATGCAGCGCGCCGGTTCCCGTCGATCACGAAAGTTAAGCAACTTTGGTCGCGGTTACTACTTGGATGGGTGACCGCTCGGGGGATATGCCGTATTACCGTGTTTTTCTGACGAAAAAAAATAAATTTGTGTGTGTGTGTGTATTTTAGCCGTTTAGGGGAAATTTGTTCGATTGGAAAAAATAAAAAAATTATAAAGATGTGTATGTGAGTGTGTGTCAAGTTAAAAAAAAAAGATTTATATATAGAAGTATTTGTAGCTATGAAACTTAATTTATAATATATAAAAAAATATGTAAACCTAATTTTCTTTTTTCAATTTATCGTTTGTATATTTTTATTACAATTTGTATATTTTTGTTACAATATTATAGTGTTATTGAAGCAATAGCGACAACTAAAAAAATTTTTGTATCATAAAAATGCCCGGGTGTCATTGATTCAACAGCATTTGTTTCTCCGTGTATTTATTCGAATATTTAATAAACCGAGCGATTGAAGGGAACTAAAAGTGTCCTAGCGGTGGCTTTCTATTTCTGGTAGGGCCATCACAGGGAAATCAAGCTAGAGCCCGATCTTCCATTCCTCGCTGTCCGCGAGCGTGATGAAAGGTGCCGGGGCCCGACCAGATTTTCCCTTCCAGAACCCTGCTAGCCGTAGGGAAATACAGCGAGGACCCTATCAGAACCCAACTCAAATTTCTACACGGGGAAGTTTCCAGGAAGCTTTCCGTGGTAACTTCGGAAGTTACCTTCGGTAGCTTCCTAGAAACTTCTCTAACATACACCAATGTCCGCACTTGGAAGCTTCCCATGGAATCTTCCAGGACTCGTACATTTTCTTGTACAAGTTCTAATACAAGAACTTGTTCCAAATCCTGGTACAAGAAATTGTACATGTTCTTACCAGAACTTGTACAAGTTCAGCTGCTGAACGTGTGCATTTTCTTGTACAAGATCTTATACAGGGATTTTTAGTAGGGATTGCAATAAAATACTAATTTTTGGGAATATAAAAAACTACTTGAATTTCAAAGATTTAAAATTAAAATTATGGAAAATTCCATTTAAAAAAATTAGATAATTTAAACTAAATCTCTGAAAAACTTTTATTCCAATTTTCTTTTAAAATTAATTAAATTTTTAAATTTGTATATTTAATTTTAATTGAAAAATTTTGGAATTATCAAAATATCGTAAAATTTAATTCAAATGAAATTTATTTGTAGGCATATATTAAATTAAATCCCTTTTTTAATAATTAAATAATTTAATAATTTCAATTTTGGAAGAATTACTGTTGGTAATAATTAATTAGAATTAATTAAATTTTAGAAAATTTAAAATTGCATTTTTTTAAATAACTGTTCTTGTAGAAAATATTTAACAAAATAAGTATTAAAACAACTTATAAAATATTAATAAATAATTTAATTTTGATATTTTGAAAATTTAGATTTTTAAACAATTTTAATTAAAATTTATTAAAGATAATGAAATTAAATTATTTATTAATATTTTATAAGTTGTTTTAATACTTATTTTGTTAAATATTTTCTACAAGAACAGTTATTTAAAAAAATGCAATTTTATATTTTCTAAAATTTAATTAATTCTAATTAATTATTACCAACAGTAATTCTTCCAAAATTGAAATTATTAAATTATTTAATTATTAAAAAAGGGATTTATTTAATATATGCCTACAAATAAATTTCATTTGAATTAAATTTTACGATATTTTGATAATTCGAAAATTTTTCAATTAAAATTAAATATACAAATTTAAAAATTTAATTAATTTTAAAAGAAAATTGGAATAAAAGTTTTTCAGAGTTTTAGTTTAAATTATCCAATTTTTTTAAATGAAATTTTCAATAATTTTAATTTTAAATCTTTGAAATTCAAGTAGTTTTTTATATTCCCAAAAATTAGAATTTTATTGCAATATGAGGAAGAAAAGTCGAAAAAATCACATTATTTAAGAAAAGTCAAACAAAGTTGACGCAAATTAATATTTTTAATAATCATAAGTCGATAAAATAGAAATTAGTTTCCTGTAAGATAGAATGAAATATATAATATATAAATTAGCTTCTCAATGTCATGTGGCGATTTGGTTGAGCGCATTGCAGCAGCACACTTGGAGGCCTATGACTTGTGGTTCGAGTCCGCTGACCCTCATGTGCTGTAGTTATGAAAATCCTTTTTTTTATTAAACTCATTTTTTTATTTTATAATAATGCAAAATATGAATATTTCATATTTTTTAAAGCTTTTTTAATAATAAAATTTCATTAACAAAAATATTAATAGTTTTTGGAAACTTCCTAGTAACTTCCAGGAAACTTTCTTTGACAACTCCCAAGAAATTTCCACCGGTAATTTGCAGGAAGCTTCCAAGGGAAGATTCCAAGGAAGTTTCCAGGAAACCTCCTAGAAGATTCCATGGGAAGCTTCCAAGTGCGGACATTGGTGTATGTTAGAGAAGTTTCTAGGAAGCTACCGAAGGTAACTTCCGAAATTACCACGGGAAGCTTCCTGGAAACTTATTGGAAGTTTTTGTGCTATCTGGGGATGATGATAGTTCTTATTATAATAATAAGTAGTGTTATTTTTTTATCTACTATTGTAATTTTTAGGGAACAGAAGTTAGTATAAAAGTTTAGAAAGAATATCATTTGATGTTAAGACAATTGCAAATACGAGAATATGGAACTTATTTATAATACATTCTGATATTTTTATTTGTAAACCCACTATTTTGAATACTATTAAATGTAAAAAAATTTTAGATACTGTATTATTTTCAATACTAACACGCTCTGAAATGGTAAGCAGTTTGAATTTTTACAAAATTTTATTAGAATATTTTCACGAAGGTTTCCGAACAGTTCCGTCCACAACCGAAGACCAAGTTAATGTTAGGCGAACACTCAGCAAACAACCGAGCGTCATCATCGTCTTGAAAGTATTTTGTTAAAAACGTTTCAAAAGTTATTAGTGATTAAACAATTGAATTGTGTAATAATATTATAATAAATCATGTATATATTTATATACATATGTATTATATACGTATACACGTGCCTAGTAACGCATTTTGTATATACCCCTACCCTATATTTATGCTATATATATGTACCCACAAAGCACAGTATTTTTCTGCAAGTTTTCCATGCAAAGTTCGCAAGTTTGCATCCAAGTTTGCAGCAAACTTGCATACAAATAAAAATGTCACCCTCTTTGCAAGTTTGCAATGAAAACTTGAGGAAAATTTGCAGCAAACTTTCTAAAATACCTAAAAAATTTAAAAAAAATTTTTTTTTTTAAATTACATATATTTTGATGAACGATGTCTTCCTTGTAGGGAAGGTGACTAAAATATAGTGCGCAGCTCTAGATGTCATAGTAAACTACTGTGCATTCATTTAAGTTTTTGCTATTTGGCGCAAGTTTGCTGCAAACTTGCCAAGTGGGTTTTATATTTATGCAAGTTTGCTGCAAACTTGCGAAATTTGCATGGAAAACTTGCAGCAAATTTGCAGAAAATGTCTGTGCTTTGTGGGTAGCGTCACCTGATCTTCACTTTTAGTATAAAGCTTTAGAAAAGATTCAAAAAACTTTGAGACTTATTACCAAAAGTGACGTTGACTATGTCTTTCCATAATCTTTATTAGAATTCTTCTAACTATACCTCGATTATCCCTAAATTCTTACGTTTTATTAGAAATATCGAAATACGATAAAGTAATTTTTCTAACTAAAAGTCTCTCCGTGTACAGACAATTGGAAAGATTAGGCTTTTCCAAATTGTTTGTCAAAAGTTGTATTCCTTTTAATGCGCTACTGAAATTCGAAGCAGTCTATTGAGAAGAATAAACATTTTATATTTACTCGTCGAACATTCTATTCTTTTGAATTGACTACCTAGAATTGCGTTAGAAGTCAATCCAGTCAATTCAAAAGAATAGAACTCCATATTTTTTTCAAGAACTTTTAATACCATAAAACTATGCGCATTAAAAAAAATAGACAATTTAGATTCTTTTCTATCTGCAAATCGACGTGAGCAACCCTATTGAAAATCCCCATATGGGAAACCACATGGGAAACCACATGGGATCCTATGTCAAAAACCATGTAAAACCCTACTTCCATGAAGGAAACCACGTGGTTTACCATGTGGTTTCCCATGTCAAACCATATGGGAAATTGAGACAGGATTTTAGTTAGGAATAGACATGGGGAATTTGAACAGTTCATCTATGCATAAAACCATATCAAATCCCACATGTTTTTCCCAGTCAAATCCTAAACAGAATCCCATGTGAAAAACAGTATCATATATTTATAATGATTTTCCCATGTCAAATCCTAAACCAAATCCCATGTGAAAAACATTATCCGCCTTATTGAATATCCCTACATGGGAATCCACTTGGGATTTTACAAGGGATTTCACATAGGATTTTATATGGGAATTGACATAGGATTTCATGCAAGATTTCACCTAGGATTTAATGAGACATCACAAAGTATTTTATTAAAGATCCAATGAAGAAATTTTCAAAGGATTAAAAATTATTTAATAAAAAATTAAATAATAAATAGTATTAGTGTTACAAGTCATCAAAAAAGTAAAAAAACGATCATTTGAAACACGTCCTCTCTGCTACAGGTTCTCAGCTTTTATATACTTCCAGAATCGTCTCAACAGCGAGAGAAGTCACTTTCGCCACCTAGCGGTGAAAGTATAGGAGCGACAGTAATCTTTAACATTACTAAGGAAACCATGTGGAATACCACGTAGGATTCCATGTGGTTTCCTACGTGGGGATTTACACGGGATTTTACTTAGGAATTCATTTGGGAATTTATTTCTACTTAAATTCCTAAGTAAAATCCCATGTAAATCCCCACGTAGGAAACCACATGGAATCCTACGTGGTATTCCACATGGTTTCCTTAGTAATGATACTTAATTCCTATACTTTCACCGCTAGGTGGCGAAAGTGACTTCTCTCGCTGTTGAGACGATTCTGGAAGTATATAAAAGCTGAGAACCTGTAGCAGAGAGGACGTGTTTCAAATGATCGTTTTTTTACTTTTTTGATGACTTGTAACACTAATACTATTTATTATTTAATTTTTTATTAAATAATTTTTAATCCTTTGAAAATTTCTTCATTGGATCTTTAATAAAATACTATGTGATATCTCATTAAATCCTAGGTGAAATCTTGCATGAAATGCTATGTCAATTCCCATATAAAATCCTATGTGAAATCCCTTGTAAAATCCCAAGTGGATTCCCATGTAGGGATATTCAATAAGGCGGATAATGTTTTTCACATGGGATTTGGTTTAGGATTTGACATGAAAAAATCATTATAAATAAATGATACTGTTTTTCACTTGGGGATTGACTTGGGAAAATACAGTACCGTCCGAAATTGTCAGTCCACCCATTTTCAAAGGAATGACAAAATTTTTTTAAAATAAAATTCATAAAAAGTAAAATTTTTTTTGGTTTATATTTTGAAAGACGATAAAATTTTGAAAAGAATAAGACCTTACAGAAGTCATTTGGCCAAAATTTGTAGAAGATATTCTTAAAAATCGTCATTTTCAATGTTTTACAAAAATTTGAATAACTTCTAAAATAATGAACGCTTTTTAATAATCTTAGGCTTATTTTAAAGACCATTTTCTACAGAATAAGAATTTCTTATAGGCATTAACCTGTCATTTTTAACTTGGAATAAGCATGACGTCAAAGTTGGACAAAAAAATTCAAAAATTTGAAATAATATTATGAAAAGAAAAATAATTTTTGAAATTCAAACATATATTTTTATTAAATTTTCTTGAAAAATCTACACCATATCATGTTTTATATATGTTCTAGAATAGTTTTTAGTACAAAAAATTGATTTTAAATTTTTCCAATTTTTTGTCCAATTTTGACGTCATGCTTATTCCAAGTTAAAAATGACAGGTTAATGCCTATAAGTAATTCTTATTCCGTAGAAAAAGACCTTTAAAATAAGCCTAAGATTATTAAAAAGCGTTCATTATTTTAGAAGTTATTTAAATTTTTGTAAAACATTGAAAATGACGATTTTTAGGAATATCTTCTACAAATTTTGGCCAAATGACTTCTGTAAGGTCTTATTCTTTTCAAAATTTTATCGTCTTTCAAAATATAAACCAAAAAAAATTTTAGTTTTCATGAATTTTATGTTAAAAAATTTTTGTCATTCCTTTAAAAATAGGTGGACTGACAATTGCGGACGGTACTGTAATTATAAATAAATGATACTGTTTTTCACATGGGATTCTGTTTAGGATTTGACTGGGAAAAACATGTGGGATTTGATATGGTTTTATGCATAGATGAGCTGTTCAAATTCCCCATGTCTATTCCTAACTAAAATCCTGTCTCAATTTCCCATATGGTTTGACATGGGAAACCACATGGTAAACCACGTGGTTTCCTTCATGAAAGTAGGGTTTTACATGGTTTTTGACATAGGATCCCATGTGGTTTCCCATGTGGTTTCCCATATGGGGATTTTCAATAGGGAATAGAGAAAAATTGATTGTTCTAAAATTTTGATGGTTCCTGTGGAATAGAGCTTCGAGGTAAATTCGCGTATTCAGAATAATTCAAAATTCTCGTTTTCAAGCATATTTTCTGGAAATTGAATTCTTTTCTATTCGTACGCTTCTTACCGGGTACCTGTTTCTTTGTACCTTTAGTTCTTTTCTGCGAATACCCTAAAAAACTGTTTTCTTCTTTCCTTCAGGAAAAAGAATGTCTGGAAATGCAGTACAGAGTGGCCGAACGTGAACTAAACGATGTCAGAGACAAGCTAGTGAATGCGAATCGCAGCATAACTAGCGCAAGCGGAAATATATCCAGCCAGGAAACTTTAATCTGCCAATTACGAGGTTGGTCATTTCTCTTTTAAACTTTCTTCACTTTCGATCAACAAGTGCTAATTGAAAGTGAAGAAAACTTATGTTCGGAACAATTTCAGAGGATCTAAAAATCAAGGAAGAAAAAATACAGAGGGTTCATAATGAATTACGTCATCTATTAGAGTCGATGGCTATTCTTCTCAGTACACCAAATCGTTTCGTTGAATCACATGAGAATGCCATCAAGGATCGATTAAGGGAAATTCTCGCCGATAACAAAGATCAAGCTGTGGTACTGACATTTGTCAATGTTATATTAAAAGCAACCGAAATAAAAATAATATTTTATTTTAAATGAGAATTCATTTATTATCTTATATTCAAAGTCATTTTTCCATTTTGTGATAAATTTCTCTTTTGACACAGAAAATCCAAAATCTAAAAGAAAAAGTTAATGTCACCACAGAGTCAGTAAATCGTCAAGCAGAAATGGTCGAGACCACAATGATAAAGATTAGAAATTTAGAGGAAGAGCGAGCTGCATTAGAAGCGAAATATCATAAACTTGAATCAGAATTATCATCCTGTGAAATTTCGAGAGAAACGTTACGTAGAGATAAACAGCACGTAAGCATTTTTTTAGATATATTTTGAATACTTCACTGTAAAAACAAAGTCTTCCTTTAAGCCAGAAATTTGTCTTTTTTCAAGGTGTAAACGGAAGTAGACCATATTGGCTGAATGTCAGTAATGATTAGAAGTTTAAAAAGAATACTCCCCAATTGATACAAGTAAGGTGTTAAATGAACTGAAATTCAACTGTAAGCTAGTATAAGAAGGCTAAAATTCAGCCAAACCATCTACCCAGTAAGAAACGAAAAATTGAAAAGTATTAAAAAGATTCTATTCTTTTGAATGCCATTTCTGTCCAATACTTTTCTATCCAGTGAGAGCAATATGAAAAGTAACGATATCAATCCTCTTGAATACCCAGTAAGAAAGCAAAGATTAAGAAGCATTAAAAAAATTCTATCCTTTTGAATACCATTTTTGTCCTATGCTTCTGAATTCCGCGACAGTAGTATAATAATATAATACTAATATTGTTGACATATAGAATGTTCAATTACTTTCAAATAACTGCACTCATGAATTTATTTGCTATTTTAAAAAGGAATAATTATTAAATTATCAGTTAAGAGGGTTAAAAGTGTTTAAAGGTCTCTGAAATTTTTAGGTTATGATTTATTGTCTAACAGAATAACGGCCCTGACTCGTTTAAATGACGTTAAATTGGTAAACAATCAATTTTTCAGCAAGTTTTTCTTTGAACACAAACACTTTTTACAAAATCTGCCACTGTATGTATCTTATAAATTACAAAAATCCAGATGATTGCTTGAATGCATGCAGAAACGCGGTTCCAATGAAAAATTGAAAAGTGATGTAATGACAGGCTGTAATAATTTCGGATGGGATTGGAAAGCATTCAGAAAAAAATTTTGTCTTTGTTAAAAATTACAAAAAGAATTGAATAGCATTCATTTTTAGACGAAACGTGGTCCTATCATGGTATAGAAAAGTATTGGACAGAAATGGCATTCAAAAGTATTGGATAATTTCTACTACACCATACAGAGTTTGAATTATTTCAATTCTTTTCAATTCCTCGCTTCTTACTGGGTAGCTAAATTTCAGCCTTCTTACAGGCTTACAGTTGAATTTCAGTTTATTTAACACCTTACTTGTATCAATTGGGGAGTCTTCCGTTTACACCTTGAAAAAAGACTTTCGAGCTTAAAGGCGGTGTCAAAGTCGATGCGATTTTTCCATTGAAGCTCAATGCAAAAATCCAATCGACTTTGACACCGCCTTAAAGAAAGACTTTGTTTTTACAGTGTATGTTCATATTCTTGAATTTTATTAAAATAAACATATGTCACATTTAATTTCTTATAACAAACAACAATTATTAAAACTATCAGTGGAAATTTCTCTCTTTAAGATAAAGAATTAAATGCTAATGCACATATATATTAGGTGAAATTAAGATTATAAACTGTTTATAAACTTGTTTATAATCGAATTAAAATATTAACATACTAATAAAACTAAACTTTCTGTCTAAGATTCACCAATTATAAATATAATTTATGGACTTATATATTATTAATAAAACACGAGTCAAAAGTAAACCGGCGACGCGACGCGCTATTCAGACTTTTCACGTTTGCAAATTGCGTCCCTTGTGACAAATTCTTCCCTCCCTTAACCCCCTACAACCCCCTTAACACCCGCAGGGTGGGAGCTCGAAATTCGAATTTTCACGAAAAGTCGATTAGGGTGTCTAAACCTACGTTTTTTGGGTCGCTGAAACCAAAAAAGACTACCAAAATCAAATCCTTTCCACCCTCAACCCCCTACAACCCCCTGCAATAATTTTTGATAATTAATATTTAATTTCAATTTCCCAAAAATCGGTTCGTTTTATTTGAAAAAAATTATTGCAGGGGGTTGTAGGAGGTTGAGGGTGGAAAGGATTTGATTTTGGTAGTCTTTTTTGGTTTCAGCGACCCAACAAACGTAGGTTTAGACACCCTAATCGACTTTTCGTGAAAATTCGAATTTCGAGCTCCCACCCTGCGGGTGTTAAGGGGGTTGTAGGGGTTTTGACTTTTTTTTGTGTGCCTGTGTTTTTAATTGATTGAAAAGATTCGCTACCCGGATGGAGGCCGGGTACCTTAATGAATAAAATACAAGGCTAATTATTAACAGTAAAATCAAGTAGAAAAAGATGGCAAAATCACTTCCTTAATATTGCTAAACCTTAAAAATTTGATACTTTTTAAGAAATATTTTTCACATATTTACAGTTTTTAGCATTTTTGGACAGACTAGGAAAATCAATGCAAATGGACGAGATTTCTCAAGAAATTGGCATGGATCTTCAGACAGAGTCGTTACTTGTACGCGCCGAACAATTGTCAAGATTGGAAACTGATAAATTAGTTGATAAGGTAAAATAACAATTGAAATTATTTTCATCTTTTGTTTGATTGTCGTTTTTGTGTTTTGTGTTGTGTGCATTTAAATTGACAACAAAATTTTGTGTGTGTTATACTATGTGCATGCACTTTTGTGCTGCAGCTATTATGTTGCAGCTATACGACGTTTCCCAGGATTCGACGTGAACGATTATACCACGAACTGCCTTGCTTAAAAGAAGTAAGCTAATAGGCGCTTGTTTTAAAAATCCTGTAGAAAATGTTGCACTAACTCTTAGTTTATTTTTACAAGAAAAAATTTGTTGAGCACCTACACTGAGAGAAATGGATAGTCAGATTTTGATGTTAAAAAGATGATGTTACACGATACTATCATTATGCTATTGCCAACCATCACAGATGCTAAAAAAAATATAGTTGTACCCCGTACTACCAAGATGTTACTCCTGATGATATTGATGGTAACGGTGACTATCTAGATAGCTGCGTCTGTATACGTAGCATTAAAGATGGTCACCCTAACCACAATACACAATTATGTTACCCACTACTATAAATTTCTCTCCGTGTACCGCAGTGATTTTGGGAATCTTCTTTAACTCCTTTAATATCTCACGTATATTAAAAATGTAGACAATGTCACAATAAAGTTGGCCGCAACAATTATTCCATTTTTTAGATCATCTCCCACAAAGCACAGATATTTTCTGCAAGTTTGCTGCAAGTTTTCCATGCAAATTTCGCAAGTTTGCATTGCAAGTTTGCAGAAAATTTGCATAAATATAAAAATGTCACCCACTTGGAAAGTTTGCACTGCAAGTTTGCAGCAAACTTGCGCCAAATAGCAAAAACTTAAATGTATGCGCAGTACCCTACTGAAAATCCCTATGTAGGATCCTACATAAGATCTTGCATAGAATACTAACTATAAATTTATAAAAAATCCTAGATTGATTGTAAGAATCTACGTAGAAATCCATAAAAAAGCACATATGGATTTGGAACAGGATTTTTTATGAGAATTGATATAGGAATGCGCATTCGTGTTACTGGATAAAAATCTACGTTGATTCCAATATGATTACCTACATCTTTTCTGACATAATTTTGGTGTCAATTTCCTATGTCAATTTCCTTTGTCAATTTCCACCATACTTACCAATATAAAATCTTAAAAAATTCTTAGTTAAAATCTTACTTAATAATTATTAAAAATTTGCCTATATAGAATCGTAGAAAAATTCCCACATAAAATCTTACTTAATTATTAAAAATTTACTCTCTAAATCAGAATCAGCGAAAACTCACTGATTCTCAGCGGATAGTCGCTAATTCAAATAGCTATAAGTATGCCACTGAGAATCAGCGAATAGTCGCTGGTCCAATCAGCGGTTACGTATTATCGAATATGGCAGCTGTATTAATTTTCTTTTCAATCAATTTATAACCAACAATTATAAAATTTTGCAATAATATGTGTCTAAAATGTTTACGGGTATATGATTTATTATTTTTTATTATACTTAAAACACTAATATTTTTGTGAATTTAGAGTTAGATTTTCATTATAAATTTATTTTTCCAATTCAAGGAAAACCACTTGAAAATTTATTAAATTCACCACCGAAACCACAGAAAATATGCTCACTTTAATGTTTACTTTAATCACTACTCACTAATCACTAATTTCATCCAATTTAAATTAATTTGTCACTAATGTAAAAAAAAACATTCCGCGTAATGTGACACATTTGCATAGAAATGACGCTACGAGTATTTTACACTTCTGCGCACACGCAGAGTTTACTGATTGCTTCAGTGACATCCACTGATCTTCAGTAAATTCCACTATTTTTCAGTGAAAACTTCGTTCACTGGTTAAAACACCCAGTAAAAAAAAAAGTATTCAGAATAGAGAAAAAGTATTGGTGGAGACGTTCGGTGAATGCGTTTTCGCGACAAAACCGTATTGGTGGGTTACGGTGAATACATTTTGCTTACCGTGAATACATTTTTTTTAAACTCTCGTTTTAAAGATTCATAAGCAAAGTTGAGAATATTTATAAAGAGCGTAAGTGACCTGAAGTATAAAAATGACGATTGCGAGAAGGAAATAAGAAATTTTGAGAAAAAATGAAAAATTAAATGTGACAAACCTACAACGTATGATGATGAAAAGGAACATTGACGATACCGACAGAAACTTGAGAAACCCAAGTAAATGTATGTGAAACAGTAAGTTCCGCCGGTAACGTCAAAGTCAAAGTCAAAGTTACGCTCTTTATAAATATTCTCAACTTTGCTTAGGAATCTTTAAATCGAAAGTTTAAAAAAAAAAGTATTCACGGTAAGCAAAATGTATTCACCGTAACCCACCAATACGGTTTTGTCGCGAAAACGCATTCACCGAACGTCTCCACCAATACTTTTTCTCTATTCTGAATACTTTTTTTTTACTGGGCAGCGCTTTTTTCGCTGATTCAGATTTAGAGAGTACCTACATGGAATCTTACCAGAATTCCTACATAAAATCTTACTTAATTATTAAAAAATTACCTACATGAAATCTTACCAAAATTCCTACATAAAATCTTACCTAATAATTATTAAAAATTTGTCCATATAGAATCGTAGAAAAATTCCTACATAAAATCTTACTTAATTATTAAAAATTTACCTATATAGCATCATACCAAACTTCCTACATAGAATCGTACTTACACTGAGAAAACTGGAGTATTGGACTAAACATCTGGAGGGACAAATCGTTCATATTTGAGAGTTAGCTACACGGAAAGAAAAGGTCTGGAAGAGATATCCATAAAAATATTGTTGAGCAGAATATTGTTGTGTTATCCAATTCAATGGAAGAGACAACTTTCAGAATGGAAGCACATTCCATATTCAATGGATGAGGGAGCCATATTATATTGTTGAATTAAATATGGATGTGACATCCATAGGCATGGTTGGGCTTACAATTCATGCTATGGATTTTCACATATGGCTGCCTCATCCATATAAACTTTGGTTGGGAGATCCATAGTTAGTTCAAGATTTCGATACATGTTGCGCGCAATTCATTATCATGGCATCCATTTAAAAATGGTCGTCTCAATTTGTCCGTCGCTTGTCGGTCTCCTGTCGCGTCTATATAATCTCGTTGTGAGTTTATTGTGTATAAATAGTGTTACAATTGTTTATTATTTATTATCGTTATTGTCTATTTGTGTTTATGTAAATTCATTTTCATGAAATATGTGTAGAGTATATAAGGAATATTATATGCTCAAATATTGTAGTTGTGTGTATAGTGTAGTGGATAGCGTTAGTGTTTAGTATGCGTTAGGTCTAGGGTTCGTGTCCTCCCCCCATCGGTTGATAATTTATTTCGTTAATATGCGGTTATTCAATAAGTGGTGTGTATTAATTAACAAAAATGTGTATAAAATATCTCAAGTGACATTGAATTTAATTAATTGAGTGATTCCAATTTTTTGTTTCCCATTTCCATTACTATGGATCACCCAACCATAGATCTTTTGCTGCTCCAACAATATACAGCCAGCCATAGAATATGGATGCAGCAACCTTAACTATGGATATCCCGTATTTTTCAATATAATATGGCTGTGATATCCATGTATCTGGATGTGTCAACTATTCCTTTTTCTCCGTGTATTGGATAACAATCTAAATGTTCAAATACACCATTGACAGATATTCGTGCCATTTCTCTTGGAGGGAAAATGAGTTTATAACAGAGGGACAAATTAACCATCTTGAGAAATCCCTTCCTTATCCGGCGCGAAATGAATAAATATGGCAACCTAACCCCTAAATTAAATACATAAAATGTCAGAAAAATAATTTCGCGCGCATCAGATCGTACACATTTTCTGCGCAACTTATAACCCTCAGATATAATGGGAGAGAATATACAAGTAGATTTCCATTATCAATTCAAAATTTATTTTAGAAGGACTATTTAACTCTCTTCATAAGCAAAGGAAACATACACTTTTTGAACCTCTGAATTTGACTCTCCAGTTTTCTCGGTAAAAAAAAAAATATATATATATATATAATATATAATATATAATATAATATAAATAATAATAATAATAATAATAATAATAATAATAATAATATAATATATATATTATATATATATATAATATATATATAATATATATCAAATACCCACATGGGATCCTACATGGGATCTTACGTGGGTTCTTATACAAAAACCTGTATAAAATCCCAGATCCCACGTAAGAATCCACATGGGATCCTATGTAAAAGCACATGTATATTTGGGACACGATTTGAAACAGGAATTCATGTGGGAATTTGAGTTTGTGTATATCTACATAAAAATCCACATGAATTCCTATGTGAGAATACATATAAAGGATTCTATAAAGGATTTCATATGGGATTTCATATGGGTTTTCATGTTTCATATATAAGATTTCACATAGGATTTCACAAAAGATTTGATATGTGATTACATTAGGGATACATTGTGAGAATTTTCAAAGGATTAAAAATTATTTAATTAAAAATTAAATAATAAATTGTATTATCATTTCAAATCATCAGTAAGAAAAAAAAATTCGATAATTTGAAACACTTCTGAGCTATAAACTCTCAGTTATATAGTGTTAAAAAATCATGTTAACAGGGGGAAAAGTCGCTCTCGCCACCTGGCGGTGAAAGTATATGAACTGTGGTATTCTGTATCATTAATAAAAAAAACCACGTAAGATCCTATGTAAGATCCCAGGTGGAAAATTATATGGGAAATAATATACGATGTCACCTGTGATTTTATATAATTCTCATTCCTATGTAAAATCCTACGTAAGATCTCATATGGTTTCATATGCGGGAAATAACATAAGAAATTACATGGGATCTTACGTAGGATTTTACATAGAAATGAAAATTATATGAAATCCCAGGTGAGATCGTAAATTATTTTCCATATAATTTTCCACATGGGATCTTACATAGAATCTCATGTGGTTTTTTTTATTAATGATACAGAATACTACAGTTCATATACTTTCACCGCCAGGTGGCGAGAGCGACTTCTCCCCCTGTTAACATGATTTTTTAACACTATATAACTGAGAGTTTATAGCTCAGAAGAAGTGTTTCAAATTATCGAATTTTTTTTCTTCCTGATGATTTGAAATGCTAATACAATTTATTATTTAATTTTTAATTAAATAATTTTTAATCCTTTGAAAATTCTCACAATGGATCCCTAATGTAATCACATATTAAATCTTTTGTGAAATCGTATGTGAAATCTTATATATGAAACATGAAAACCCATATGAAATCCTTTATAGAATCCTTTATGTATTCTCACATAGGAATTCATGTGGATTTTTAAGATATACACAAACTCAAATTCCCACATGAATTCCTGTTTCAAATCGTGTCCCAAATATACATGTGCTTTTACATGGGATCCCATGTGGATTCATACGTGGGATCTGGGATATTATATACAGGTTTTTGTATAAGAATACCCACGTAAGATCCCATGTAGGATCCCATGTGGGTATTTTTAATAGGGTAAGTAAAATTCTATGTAGGAAGTTTGGTATGATTCTATATAGGTAAATTTTTAATAATTAAGTAAGATTTAATGTAGGAATTTTTCTACGATTCTATACAGACAAATTTTTAATAATTATTAAGTAAGATTTTAACTACCCAGGTGCGAATTTAGGTTGGCCGCCAGAGTTTGAAGGTTGGCCCAACGGTTGGCAAAACTCTAGAAACGCAGTTTCATTGACTTAAACTTTCTTGGTCGGCCGAACTTTGGGCCACGGTTGGCCCGACGGTGGGCAAAACTTTGTGAAACGCAGTTTAATTGACTTGATTTTTCTTGGTTGGCCGAACTCTGGGCAACGGTTGGCAAAACTCTAGAAACGCAGTTTAAATGACTTAAACTTTCTTGGTTGGCCGAACTCTGGGCCACGGTTGGCCCAACGGTTGGCAAAACTATGTGAAACGCAGTTTAATTGACTTAAACTTTCTTGGTTGGCCGAACTCTTGGCCACGGTTGGCCCAACGGTTGGCAAAACTCTGTGAAACGCAGTTTAATTGACTTGATTTTTCTTGGTTGGCCGAACTCTGGGCAACGGTTGGCCCAACGGTTGGCAAAACTCTAGAAACGCAGTTTAAATGACTTAAACTTTCTTGGTTGGCCGAACTCTGGGCCACGGTTGGCCCAACGGTTGGCAAAACTATGTGAAACACAGTTTAATTGACTTAAACTTTCTTGGTTGGCCGAACTTTGGGCCACGGTTGGCCCGACGGTTTGCAAAACTTTGTGAAACGCAGTTTAATTGACTTGATTTTTCTTGGTTGGCCGAACTCTGGGCCACGGTTGGCCCAACGGTTGGCAAAACTTTGTCAAATGCGGTTTAAATGACTTAAACTTTCTTGGTTGGCCGAACTCTGGGCCACGGTTGGCCCGACTGTTGCAGCTTAAATATACATTTTGCGTTATGCACTCCCATGTGAGCGTAGCGTAGTGGTCAGTGTATAAGTCTTCGGTGCGTTAGGTTAGGGGTTCGATCCCAGCGAGCATTAGATATTTTCGAAAATGTATGTATGAGATTGTGTTTAATAATAATAGGTAAAGGTTATATCTGATGTTCCCGCTAATAATAACCTGTTAATTGTTTAAATAATGTAGTTTTTTAATAATTTTTTACCTTTGGCTGTTGAAGTTGGCCAAACTTTGAAAATTGTGGTTGGCCCAACTTACGCATCTAAAGTTGTGCCAACTTTGGCGTCAGTCTTTGGACCAACCATTGAAATGTATAGTTGGCACAACATATGCATTGTAAGTTGGGCCAACTTCCTTATGAGTTGTCGGGCCAACCATCGTCGCCATTAGACGGTCGCCGTTATCATCTGTATGGTTGGCCCAACCTCTGGCACGAGAAGTTGGACCGACTTTGTAAAAGTTGGCCCAACTATGGGCCGACCAAAAAATCGCACCTGGGTAAGAATTTTTGTAAGATTTTATATTGGTAAGTATGGTGGAAATTGATAAAGGAAATTGACATAGGAAATTGACACCAAAATTATATCAGAAAAGATGTAGGTAATCATATTGGAGTTAACGTAGATTTTTATCCAGTAACACGAATGGGCGTTCCTATACCAATTCTCATAAAAAATCCTGTGCCAAATCCATATGTGCTTTTTTATGGATTTCTTCGTAGATTCTTACAATAATTCTAGGATTTTTTATAAATTTATAGTTAGTATTCTATGTAAGATCTTATGTAGGATCCTACATAGGGATTTTCAGTAGGGTAGTTTACTATGACATCTAGAGCTGCGCACTATATTTTAGTCACCTTCCCTACAGGGAAGGCATCGTTCATCAAAATATATGCAATTTGAAAAAAAATTTTTTTGAAAAATGTTTTAGGTATTTTAGAAAGTTTGCTGCAAATTTTCCATAAGTTTTCATTGCAAACTTGCCAAGAGGGTGACAATTTTATTTGTATGCAAGTTTGTTGCAAACTTGGATGCAAACTTGCGAACTTTGCATGGAAAACTTGCAGCAAACTTGCAGAAAAATACTGTGCTTTGTGGGGCTAGTCCAAGGAGGATAAATACAGAAATTAGCATATTACCGATTTTTATCTACTCATTCGTTTCTTTCAGACTTCGGTTGTTTATCAACTACAACGAAGGGTTCGAACTCTTCGAGAACAATTGCAGCGACGAGATCTTCATTTGGATCTTCTTCGTAGAAAGCTTAGTCTTCAGGAAGATAGTGTCCGAGTGAAATCAATGTTGCAGAGTGAAAGGGACGAGGCAAATCTTAGGTTCTTTCTTTTTTTTGAATAAAAATTGTTTTATTGCAAACAAATTGTTTACAATTATAAACAATTTGTTTTGTATTAGAAGTCGAGAGAAATGTCAACAAATTCATTATTTACAGAGCAAAGAAGCTATCGAAGCAAATTGACCGTTTACAGATGCAAGCCAATGATGAGAAGGCAAGAAATAGGGAATTGAGTGCCCAATTAACGGAGGCTGCGGATTACAAAGTAAGATTAAAAAATATGTCCTCTTGTTTCTTGTTCTTACAAAGGAAAATGTTTCAGATAGCTGCATTGGAGCGCAGTAGGAAAATAGAAGAACTTCAAAAGAGACTAGTTGAAAGTGAAATGCTTAGGACCCGATACAACAGAAAAGTGACAATGATGAAGGATCAGTTGAGAACAACCAGTGAAACAACAGAACAGGAGAGATCAATTAACGATCATTCGATGCAACTTGTCAGAGATGAATTAACTCAAGTTAAACAAACACTTCTCGAGGTTAGACAACAATTGACCGAAACAACTCGTAGAGAATCACAGGTATGTTTTGCAGAATTTAGATCTAAGCTCCTTCAGAAAAGATGAAAAGTTAAATAAAAAAATTGCATCAATAAAACTACCTATTATTAAATATTGTTAAACTATACCTATTTATAAAACTATTTGTGACATGCTATGAAGAAGAGGGTCTAAGCAGAAAACAATTGTAGGTTTACGTTTAAAAGGAAACTAGTCAACGATATTAAATGCGTATTTTCAACAATGGGAGTTCGGTAATACGAAAAATTAAAAAAAATCGAAAACACTCGTATCAACGTTACTTTCGTCAGCGGTAGCACGACTTCGACTCCGTATTTTCGATCTTCGCGTCAGTTTATATATGTACTTATCAGTCCGAGTGGGGATCGCGGGGACTGAGTATCGTTCATTAAGGCCAACGCAGAATAGATCTGTAACTGGAACCGCAATCGTAACCGTAAGCGTAAGAATGAGTTAGAGAAGGATAAACAATATACCTATCCTTCTCTAACTCATTCTTACGGCTATACGTAATCTCAGGAGCGGTACAGGATATTATTTCACCCTAAAAGTTTCAATACACTTGAAATTGAACTTACACAAATTTATTAATTATTCTGAGTTATAAAATTCATACTTCCCGCCTTACAGTACAAGTTACAAAAGAATAATATATATATTATATTTAAGATATAACGATAAAACATAACCTACAAGTCTTTGCTTCTCAGGTACCTTTTTTCATAAATCGTTACATTTAAACATTTTACAGTTGCAGAGTTTCCGAGCATCCGTCGCAAAATTATTAACCGAACCAATATGTTCACCGGACTATGAAATAATTTCCCGCCTACAGAAAATAATTGCAGCACACAGAGACTTTACAATGCTGTCACGAAGATATGACGAACCGTTAGAAACCAGTCCTTCTAGATGTACCAGGTATATTATCATTTGCACTGACTCTACAATATTTATAATCTAAGTAGAAAATTCTTTTTTATAATTTCAAATGAACTATATTTTACAGTATTCATCCGGTCCATCCGCCGAGATCGCCTGGATCAAGATGCACTCGCTATGAAGATAGTGGTTACGCTGATCCCCCGGATCTACACGACATTGATGATGATTTCAACAAAAGACCAATCAGAAGTAGCCTCCTTCCGTGACATCGGCCGAAATTTAAATTCTAAATTAATTTAAAAGAATCCCACAGTTTTTAAAATTCTACAATTAGAAAACTGTTTAGGATTTAAGAAAAAAATGTTTACAATGTAAATGTAAAATCCTCTGTTTGTGGAAACGTAAACAAGTGAATTTTACAATGAAAACTCGAAGAGGGGAAAAACAGAAAGCTAAATAAGTGTTCAATGTTAATTATCATGTAAATAAATATCCATTACAATATAAAAGTTGTTTTTTACCTCCTAAAATAATTGTAGAAAATTTCAATGTCCAAAGCAGGATGAAAACTCCCGGTAAAGGTGCTTCTATACCTCCGGTAGATTGGTCAAGCAATCGGCTTGATGAATTTTCATGGTCGGAAAATGTACTTTCATGGCGGGTATTTTTGAATAAGTAAATGTTGAAAAGGTTTTTACTTGAAAATTTATTTAAAAAAATGATTTTTATCATAGAAATTCTTTTGAAAGTAATGTTAAAAAACATGTTTTATTTTAAAAGTTATCAAATTTTAATTCAAAATGTTTTAATTTTCCAAAGAAGTGTAAAAAGCCTAATGTTTTTGAAATGCTAGTACAGACGGTACAGACTGTTTGTTATGAATGTACATAACCTAGCGTTGTGTTGTCTGTTCATTATTATTTAATATAATAATAATTAAATCATTAAATTTAGAATATAATAATATCACAAGCACGACAACACAACGCTAGGTTATGTACATTCATAACAAACAGTCTGTACCGTCTGTACTAGCATTTCAAAAACATTAGGCTTTTTACACTTCTTTGGAAAATTAAAACATTTTGAATTAAAATTTGATAACTTTTAAAATAAAACATATTTTTGAACATTACTTTCAAAAGAATTTTTATGATAAAAATCATTTTTTTAAATAAATTTTTAAGTAAAGCGAGGAATAGAAAAAGATTAAATTTCCAGAAATATTCTGTTAAACGAGGATTTTTTAATCTTTCTGAATAGGCGAATTTCCAAAAAAATCCAATTCCTCTGTGAACAGCAAAATATCAGAAAAATTAATTCTTCTCTATTGCTCGTGTCAATGAGATTCTTCTTCTTTTGTTTAAATGGCCTCTTGTATATACAAATAGCCAGTACTATTAATTGATTAATAATTGAACGTATTAATCCGGAGTTTTTATATTAGAATTGTCCTAGTAGTTAGTTTTATTTCAGTCCAAAGTTAGTCAGGCTTGTAGTAAGCGATTACTCGATTGACGACTATTACAGAGCCGTTAGCTGCGACCCATACATCGGCCAGTGATTTCCATTAGATCCGTTATGACTAGTGTTGGTTGGTTGAGGAGGCGTGTGTGCGTCCTTCTGTTGTTGACGCCAATGATAGTAGTGGCGCGAGGTTTGTGCGTTTTTAATTCTTTTCTTTTTTAAAAAAAAGGAAACAAAATTTCTGTTGGCACAATTATGGATCAGTAAGATATATCCATTGTTGTAAGGTATTTTGCGATAAAAATTAATTCAGGAATCCAAAGCAAGCATTACTATTATTCTAGTCAACTGCCATAGTGAGAGGAAAAAGTTATAGGAATTTTAAGTATACAATTCAACTCGCTTCAATTAAAGAGCCCATCCAGAAAGTCCAAAACTAATTACAATTTTAAATTTTAATTTATTTAAAATCAGATATCTTTGAAATTTATATCATATAATCATGTTCCCACTCGAAAAGAATTTACCGATATTAACTGTTATTTCAAGATCTGGATTGAAAATTAGTTGGTCAATATTAAACTCATCAAAATTGAATTGTGGCAACCTTTTCAACAGAAATGCCTAGAGGGCTGGCCTCTGAGCAGAGAGCAAAGGACAGTTTTTAAATAAATGAATTAACGATTTAAAGTCATTGCCACAAGGGCACTCCAGAGGTAAGGTCCATCCCATTCGGGCGAAGTGCTCTCCCGTGCAGATGTGCGAAGTACGTAGTCGAGTTATAGTATTGATATTTCTCCTTGATGTCTCGACACCCCGGAACCAAGGCCTTTTTGTTTTAACTGTGATGTGATTAAAGTATTTATTTGTTAGAGGAGTGGAGAAGGAATAGGGCCATGTGAGATTCAGCCAATGTTCATAATCCCTGCCAATCAGCCGAAGAAGATCGCCAGGAGGGCCACCCTGAAGATTACCAAAGGGGAGGGATAGGGCATTACGAGCCCAACCATCAGCAAGTTCGTTGCCCCGGATACCCGAGTGAGAGGGGATCCAAATGAACGAGACTAAACTGCCTCTATCCAGAAGGGCATTGATCTCCTTCATGATTCTCTTTAGTAAAGGGTGTAGCGAGGGGTTAATGAAACGATATTTAATTTCATTGAGGGCATTCTGTGAGTCAGAAATAATCAGTATATTGTCCAGGTTCTGTTGGACAGCCTCCTTAACGGCTGAGAGGATAGCATAAAGCTCGCATGTATCTATCAGCATGAGACCGCTCAAACGAACACTGAAATTTATATTTAGTTTTGGAATGACAAAGCTAGCACCCGAAGTGCTCTTAACTGGATCATGTGATCCATCGGTATAAATGTCAGTGAAATCCTCGTACTTGGCCAGAAGCAATTCAGAAAAGGCCTGTGCCGGCGAGACATGTGATTTGATCTCCAGACCAATCTGGAGGTCGACATCAACATCTCTAATGAGATCGTTCCAGGTCATTTCAAATCGGAGGGAGGGCTTTTTGATCCTGCCGCACCTACTCATAATCTGGGATACATCCCCAAACGCCGTCAACAGAGGCAATCGAATTATTGGAGAGGGATTAGAATTTTGGTTGTTCAGGTTGATTCTATTTTGTAAACATTGTAATTTTGTGAAGAGTGGATTTAAAGTCCAGGACAGATTGCGGATCATATGACGCCTGTTGATAAGAGATCTTCGCAAAGATAGTGGTGGGATATTAGCCTCAGAAAGGAGTATTCCAATCGGTGTTGACCTCATGCAACCGAGAATAGTTCGCAAGGCCTGATTTTGGATCCGATCTAAAGACCTCAGACCATTCTGGGCCGACTCGGCAAAGAACTGGCTACCCCATTCAAGATGTGAGCGAGTTAACCCCTTGAATACGGTGAGCAGTGATGACGGGCTCGCCCCCCAAGAGATCCTAGACATTGATTTGATTACATTAAGCGTTTTGGTCGCCTTCTGCGAAATTTCCCTTACGTGTTTCTGCCAACCGAGTTTTCTGTCCAGAATTATACCCAAGTAAGTCAATTCAGATTGTGCTGTGACCGTGGAATTTTCGATTTCAATAAAACAATTTTCGAAATTCTCATTTGATCTTGTGAAGATAGTCAGCTGGGACTTTCCCGGGGATATGGACAGGCCCACTTCTGCGAGCCAAGGTGTCAAATCCAAAATAGTTTTTTTCCAGGAGACGGAGGGAGGATTGGAGATCCTTAGATGTGATGTACAGAAGTAGGTCATCAGCAAACATCAACCACTTGACTGCACCAGGAACAACCTCACCAATCCTGCTCAACGACAGATTAAATAACAACGGGGACAAAACTCCACCTTGTGGTACACCAATAAAAGAATCTCTAGATTTTTCACTTTCGGAATCAAAGTATAAATGTTTAGCCGTAATAATAAAAGAGATAAAATTGATTATTCTTGCAGGAGTTTCCAGTTCCATTAATCTATTATAAATAGATTGTGGAAGGATATTAGAAAATGCTCCCTTTAAATCGACCGCTAATGCGAATGTATGTTCTCGGTTAGTAAAACCCTTAGTAACATCACCCAGTAAACGAAAACAAATTGAAATGAATTAAAAAGAATTCACAAAGAGCTTTCGTGAATCCCGCTTTGTGACAAATACGAATTGGAGCCATGATGCAATTTTCCCGAATTCGTGAAACTGTATTGAACTTCCGAACCTTCTATCCGTACCAATTCACTGGACAAGTTTTGAGCCTTTAATTTTTTTCAATTCCTTAGCACGAATTCAATGCATTCCTTGGCCATTTCTTTCGAATGCGAATTCGTTTGGACAAATTGGTACATATTGAATTAAATTCAATTGAATATACAAAGAGCTTAAGTGAATCCCGCTTTGTGACAAATACGAATTGGAGCCTACCAAAAATGTTAATTCGTTTCAATTCATTTGAATTAGTTTTTTTTTACTGGGAGTTACAAAGACCGAAACGCAGTCCGTCGTCGACCTTCCCCTCCTAAATCCAAACTGATTCATAGGAATCCCATCGTAAAATTCGACATGATGTTCGAGTCTCTTCTGAATAATTTTTTCAAAAAGTTTGCAGACATTTGATGTGAGAGAAATGGGGCGATAACCCTTTCCCTGAGGTTTGGGCAAGAAGACTACTCTAGTATCTCTCCATGATTCCGGGAATATTGATTTAGTAAAATCTGGGCCGGGTGAGGTATTTTTTTTAATGCTGTTTATAGCATTGTGAAATTCAATTTTAGAAAAAGGATTATTGATCAGAGAGTCGCCATTAAAGTTAGTAAGCAGTGGGAGCAGTGTTGGTAGGACTTCCTCCTGGACAAGGTCATTCTGTAATTTTATAAAAATTTCAGAGTTAGGGTCAGTAGAAATCCCCGTTCTCAGGGGTTGGGTGGCCGTAGCAAATGCTTTGACCTTGGACCATATATGACTCATTCCCATTGTAGGGCTGATGTTATTACAAAATTCAACAAAGGCAACTTTCTTTTTATTTCTAAGAAACCACTTAACCTCATTATCTATTTCGTTAAATCTCAAACGATTGGTGTTTGTCTGAAGCCGAATGAACTCCTTCCTGGCAACCCTCCTCCGCACCAGAGCCTGGTCACACTCTTCATCCCACCACAGGGGTTGAGACTTACGTGTGCCCCTCAAGCGTGAAGGAAAGTATGCCCCCGAGTCCGTCAAACACTGAATTATCTTTTCTATAAATAGTTTATAGGTTTCTAGAGGTTGATTGTTTTCATTGAGACTGTATTCGAGGGTCTCGACGGAAGAATCAATCCGAGAGCAAAATTCGGTCCAGTCTACTTTTTTAAGGTTAAGTCGATTAGTTGTGGATTTGATGTATTTAGGGAGAAGATCCAGATCAGCAACAATCAGGTAGTGATCCGAGGAGTAAGTCTCCTCAACCACCTCAAAGCGGGAAAACTGACACAACCGCGAGGAGACGAAAATCAGGTCGATATTACTACTGTTCCTGCCATCACCACCAACAAAAGTTGGAAGAGAGTCATTCAGCGGAACCAGATCGTAATCTTCAATTAACTGGGTGAGATCGTTGCCCCTCAAGTTGCAATAGGGGGAACCCCAGGTCCAAGAATGTGCATTAAAATCACCCAGAAAGATAATCGGATGTTGAGAAGAACAGTTCTCGATAAGATCGGTCCATTGTTTCATTGGAACTTTAATGTTTGGGGGTGCATATATTCCCAGGATTTGGACTTTGAATTGGGTTGTGATGATATTTATTCCCACACAATCAAGATGTCTCTGTGTTAAGTTTGAAATTATAATAGGGGAAACAGCTAGGTCCTGTTTAACCAAAATCATCACCCCACCCCCCGGGTGATCACTCCTTCGATCATGACGGAAGGTGAGATAGCCTCTAATTTGCCACACTGGGACCTTATTCGTGAGCCAGGTTTCTGTAACTATTAGTATGTCTAACTTGTGGGTGTGAAGCAATGACTCGATTTCTGGTTTCTTATTCAGGACACTGTGTGCATTCCAGTTACCATAACGCAGGCCTCTACGGCCGACAGCAGAGGACATCCTATCAATGAAAATAGACAAAAATAAAAGCTTAACTCATATAATTTGTAAGAATGTAATATTTAGTAGTAAGCAACGACTTAGGATGGAAGAGACCAAGGATGCACAAATAAGCAAAGAAATGGGGATGAAACACAAACCAAGACAAAAATAAACAAGGAGGGAAGAACAGAATTAACTAAAAATAAAATTAAAAGGAGAAGTATAACAATTAAGTAGCCTAAATTTTCTTTCTCTTACTTCCATCCCCTTTACAACAATAAACGGCTCAAACTTTTCTCCCTTCTTTCCAAAAAAAAGAAGAGAAAAAAAAGAAAAAAGAAAAATCAGAGAACAACACTAATCAAAAACCTTACACCAAGAACAAAAAACGGTTTTGTTTTTTTTTCTTTTTTTCTTCCTCCTTCCTTCCTCTTTCCTTTTAATTTATTTATTTATTTATTTTTTAATTTTTAAAAATTTTGTTTATTTATTTATTTATTTATTTATTTTTCTTAATCAGAAAATATAAGTTTAGGCGTTTTACGTGAGTGTATTATGACTCAAATCAAGGACTGTTGTGGCAGTCGGAAATTAGAAACATGCAATCCTTCATTCATTCAGGACAAAATTAATTAGTAAGTAGAACGCAAAAACAATAAAAAAAGGGAGAGAACAACAGAAACAAACGTACAGAAAAGAAAAAAAATGTAACAAACCAACCACCCAATTATATTGGGAGTGCATTCGTATGAAACTAAGATAAGGACATGCAGTTAAAAAGAAAAAGTAATAGTACCATGCAATTTAAGGATATAAAAAGACCAAATTTTCTCATTGTTCCCTTTTCCAATAAACAACACGAGTTATTTGAAATTAATTATGATCCCTCAATACTGATCATCATTACTCCACGATCCTCAGTGGTTGAGGTATTCGTTTAACTCATCCTCGAGTGATCTCAACTGAGAGATAGGAGAGGCCAGATTTTCTTGTATAGTTCCTAGTAAATCAGAGTTCGATCTATTTAAAGCAATTAATGTATCTACTGCAGTGAGTTGTTCCGTTGTGCACGGTGGAAGATTCAATTTTAAGGAAGAGAGATTTAATGTCTTTTGTTGAGAGGTAGAAGGGAGTTCCTCCCCTCGAGGGTCAGCCTTATCCGAAGCAGCATATGTGGGTTCAGGTTCAACAAGTCCATCAGGGAGAGGGGGGGCAACTATGAGGGAGTCATTCCTAGAATGAATGACTCCATCAAGATCTGCATTTTCCGCAAAAAACATCGCCTTTGCCTCAGAGCGATTGCAATTTGTTGTATATCTCAATTTCAAGATCCCGAACTCCATCTTAAAGATGGGGCACAGGTTCGATGAGGCGACATGTTCTCTCTTACAATTCTTACAGCATGGTGGCAGTTCTTTATAAGGACACAAGTCTGTGAGGTGTCTACCTGAGCAATGCTCGCATGAGGGGTAGGTAGACCTGCATTGGTTCTTGGTGTGACAGAACCTCTGGCACCTAAAGCATCTACGGGGTCTTTGAATCACCGGGGTGATTTGGATTGAGAATCCTCCGACTGTGATGAATCTTGGGACAGTGAGACTGTTGAAGGAGAACTCAACTCTGTTGGTAATAATGTTTGGTGGTCGCACCAGCCTTTTAATACAGGTTATGTTCTTCAATTCCTCAGGAGAACTGACTCTGACTATATCCCTGACCGAACGCTCAGGAGGAAACCAGTCAGTAAAACCCCGTTTATGGAGAAAGGTGTCAGGAATGAACATCCTATAACCACCATTTCTAAGGGCGGCGGAGGAAACTAGGTCATTGGCACTTTGAAAATGCTCACACTCGACCTTAATCTGGTTTATGCCGGTTCGTGAGACTTGTTTACCCCCAGAGACAATTGGAGTAAGGAGATCAATGACCTTGATAGGGTCTAACTTGCCGAGATTTAATCCCGACACCGTACTTTCAATGAAAACAACAAAGGGAGATGCACTGAAGGCTGTATAGAGGGACATAGTACCAGTGCTATGCCAATTCAGGTCTGATTCCTCATAGACAATGTATTCGTTCGAGTTCACGGTGTTGGCTGCAGGATCAGCAAGGGTAACCAATGCCTCGTCAGGCCCAGCATGGATGGAGGGGGACGCGATAATGGTAGGCGTGTCAGAGATCGTTTTTGAGTGTTCACCCACTGAATGGGCAAAATCACCAAGCATCACCATATTATTGGCCCTCTTAGCAGTCTGCCTCAGCGACTCGCCAGAATCATTGTGCTGTGTGGGAGCATTAGTGGTGGGGGAAGGATTCACTCTTTTGCGCTTGGGTGTTTGGGATGAGGACATATCAGGGAATTGAGTTATGTTCATACCGGTAAGCAAATCTAGGTTCTTAGCTGGAGTTGATGTAGCGTATATTTGACCAGGCGTTGGTTCGGGGATGCCGGAAAGATCACCGTGTATTTCACCGTCATCAATCGAGACTAATGAGGACGACAGTCCTTCCTGTTGGTCTCGTTCTGGAAGTACGCTTTCTCCACCCGAGGTGAGCACTCCGCGCGAACAAGCAGGTTGGTTAGACATCTCAGTACCTGACGAGAATAAGTAAATTTTAGAAAAAGAGAAATATTTAAATAAACAAAAAAATAAGTTCACAGTTTTTAAAATTCTACAATTAGAAAACTGTTTAGGATTTA